ACCTGATGCATCATTCACCCCCGCCCGCAGAATTTTGTATATCAAAAGGTGAAAATTCACCATGCCATATGTACACAACCAACATTCTGCTAAAGGATTATACCACATATAGTAAAGAATAAATAATCATATATAACACACGTGAGCAATAAAACCCAATATTGTGCTGACGTAGATTGATTTTCTATTTTTCTCATTATTTTTTAATTTTGGAATTTTTTTTTATTTATTTTTTTGTTTTTCGTTTTTATCAGCTATCCTTCATCTGCCACCAAATTCACCGGATGCAAAGGTGTTTGAGGATTTAGCAAAAAACACCAAGAAAAGCAACGTTACTTCACCTGCTCCTGGTAAGAAAATTAATTATAGGGTAAATTATAGACACCCCCTTATAATATTGATAATTACAAATACCTCCCTGCGCTATTTCTTCGTCTAATCTAACAATTACACATTTATGAAGTTATGAATAACGGAATCATAAAGATTCTATGAACTATTCGTTCTACATTTCCAATTCTACTACCAGGGAGTAAATGTAATATACCCACATAGGGTAAGTGTAATATTTTCTCTCTTACCTCAGGGTACCGTAATTTACTCATAGTTTGTTTGTTTAATAAAAGGGTAATTTAGGCATTCATTCATTACGCTAGGATTAATAACGAGTTGTTTGTTTTAAGGGGTATTTGTAATTACTAATACCACGAAGATTTGTAAGTCATTTAGTCTTATATCAGGGTATCCGTAATCTACCCTTAATTTTATATAGAAAAATGCATATGAAGAAGAAGAAAAAAATCTTTTAGGATTCTTTTTTATTATATTTTAATACTTTTTTTTTCATTTTCTTCTTAAAAAAGGGAGTTCACCCAATGGGACCACAACAACAACAACGACTTCAATAAATGCTGATGAGAAAAATGGTGGAGGAAGTATAAAGAGATGGTTAGGTACTCAATTGGTTTTGCTAGCTCTAATTGCAGCTCAAGTATTGCCTATTAATATTTGATTAATTAAAAGTATAAGAAAATAAATGTTTTATAAGTACTATCATTCGATTCTCAATAAAATTTGGATGATGTTATATACTTATGTTTCATGTGTATAAAATTCATGTGCAACGGTGATCAATGACGAAGGCAAGACTTTGGAATTTCATGTATTATATATGTGATGTATTTAGGTCTTCTTTTCCCGATTGTAGCTTGAGCTTACTTTCATGTTTACAAAAATACATTTAGTCTCTCATGTTTCAATAATTTAATATTTTTGGTCATTTCAATCAATTTATCTTTTCGTCTGTCAGTTAAGATAGGGATGAGAACACACTTGATTCCGTTCGTACTAACGTAAATGACTAAAAATGTTGGTTCTGTCACGAGGGACTAAATGTATTTTTTTTGAACATGGGGACTAAATGTGGAATCGGTGCAAACTTGAGGGATGAAAACTGTATTTTGCCATATTTTCATCATCAAAATGAGTAGTAATGAATTGATGATTACAAAATTTCTTATTTATTTGGACAAAATGCACTTCACCACCTATAAATTATTTTGGTAGCATTTTGCCCCATAGGTCAATTTTTGAAAGGCATTGTGCAACAAAAATAACATTTTAAAGAGGCAAAGTGCAAAAAAATAGTGTTTTTTAGGGGGCAAAGTCAAATAAAAATAACATTTAAATGGACAACGTGCAAGAAAAATACTCAATCCCGATGAATAATCCAACAGAGTTTTACTATCAGAGGAATATGCAACAAGAATAATATTTTGCAAGGGGGCATTCACTTTAAAAAAAATTGAAGAACTAAAGTGCGAAAATTAGATATTTACAGGGGTATATGCAATTACCCCTATTAATTTGTGTTTCCGCAAGTAGATGATTATAAAAAGGGCAAATTGCACATCACCCTTGTAAATTTCTAATTTGTACACTTTACCCCTCAAAGTTTTTAAAAGTGAATGTTTCCTTCAAAATATTATTCTTTTTCCACATTGCCCCAATAGCAAGACTCCGGATTATTCATCAGAATTGAAGATTTTTGTTGCATGTTGTCACTTTAAATATTATTTTTATTGCACATTACTCCTTAAAAACATTATATTTTTGCACATTACCCCTTTAAAATGTTATTTGTGTTGCACAATACCCTCCAAATATTGACTTATGGGGCAAAGTACCATCAATATAATATTTCAAAGCAGAAATATCCTTTTTTTTTTTTCACGAAGGTAGAAAATGCAAAAACCAGAAATTTCTAGAGGGGCAAAGTGCATTTTGTCCTTAAAAAAATCAACTAAGAGTAAAATATAACAATTAAACACGTAACTTAGAAGAAAAACATCAATCATCTCGCCAAATTTTCATTTTTTCCTCAACAACTCTCTCTCTCTCTCTCTCTTCATCATAAATTCCATCGTCTCTCTCTCTTCTTTCTCTCTCTCTCATCAATGGCGTCGGCGTCGTCCACTCGAAAGGTACAACACGCCGCCACAGCAATAATCTCTCTCATCATCCTCCTCACATCAACCCAAACCACCCTCTCAGACCCAACCTCCGACGAAGTACACGAACTCCTGACAAAGTACAACCTCCCAAAAGGAATCCTCCCAAAAGACATCAAATCCTACGCACTCTCGAACCAAGACAACTCCTTCACAATCGAACTCAGTTCGAACCCTTGCTACGTCAAATTCAAAGACCAGGTTGTCTATTACGCCAAAACCATCAAAGGCAAGCTGTCCTACGGCAAAGTCACCGGAGTTTCTGGTATTCAGGCCAAGAAATTCTTCATCTGGGTTTCCGTTACAGGTATGGAAGTTGATCAGAAGAACGACATGGTTGAATTTCATGTCGGCGCTATTTCTCAGTCGCTCCCTGCTGAGGATTTTGAGGAGATTCCTAGCTGCAAAGCTAAAGCTCTTCTTCGGGAGGAATCTTTTTCTTTACTTGATGCGTTAATTTGAGGTAAATTTTTGTGGGTTTTTTTTTTTTTTTAATTTATAGTTCTTGATAAAGATTGAGTTTTTTTTTTTTTTTCTGGATCTGTTGGTTGATTGGGAATCATGAATTGTTGGTTTATAGATAGCTTTTGATGAGAGAAATTGGAATCATGGGGTTGACTTTAAATTGGTCAACACTAATTGATGCTATAAGATAACAATTTGGTATGGTTTCTAATTATTTATTTATTTTCGATATTCGATATTCGATATTCGAATACGAATGGGGAAGTAGTTGATGTATAGGATCGATCCAGGGTTAGGTATCAAATCTCCTAACGAGCTTTGGGTTATGGTTTGTGATAAATGCGTATTATCGCCTTGTTCAAAAATAGTACGTCGAAACTGCAAGATAGATACTAATATCCTTTTTTTTTTCCTTGTAGAAATAGAGCCGATTTTTTGTAGTTAGATGTGGATTTTATTGTTTCAATAATCGTGCGACAATTATTCAAATGCATTGTGAATTTATGATGTACATTCGGGTTTTTTTTTTTTTTTGCTTTTCTGAATATACACATCAAGAAACCGTGTCCTGGTTTACGAATTATATAAAACAGATAATCTAATGTGCTATTGCACAGAAATGTGGTGATTACTTAATGGAAGAAAGGATTTGAGGTACAAAACGATTAGTTTAATCTAACTAGTGAAGCTATTCACCATGCATCCGGTTTGTTTTTTTTTTTTTTTACGAAACATACTTCATTTGAGCAGCTCGGTTTTTAGGCATCATAAAAAATGTAAAAAGTACAGGAAATAAATTTGTGGATGGATCCTGTTCGGTTTCAATTTATTGAGTCTTTGATAATCGGTTTTGTTTGTTAGATACTTGTCCTTGTGTTGGGTTTTTTTTACAAATTATTCACTTGCAAAACTTGTTCTCGAAGTTCGATAATCTTCAGATATATTGACGCAAAATAACATGCCTTGATTTTTTTTCTGTGCAGACCAAAGCCAAATTTTAGATGCTGTGTAAAAATGGAAGATGTCGTGTTAACTCGTCATATACCATGATCGGGTATCAATCCAATCTGGTTCAAATTTCTTTTACCACTTCTTTGCATTTACGGACTGTTCTATCGATTTATGAAAAGAATACTGATTTCTTATATCCATTTATATTTTAATTGTCTTGATGCACCTTGTTTTTCCATCTTACAATGATTAGGGCTTTCTTGTTTATAAGTAGATATGTCACGATCAATTAAAATCGTCAGATGCTACACCGGGTGACTGTTAACCGTGGATCTACACATAATCAAACACACATCCATGTGTATGTGTGCTTAGTAGGTCGTTATATAACCACATCGTCGGTTAACTAGCACCCGGTGTAGCATCTAACCTACCTTTGGTGTTTGATTTCGTCCACTAACATTCTGGGACAATTCGAAATTCTTTATCAACTATTTATCTTGCCTAATTGGACACTGGTATGCACATAGTTTACCATAATAAGAATACGACTCCTTCCGTTTCAAATTAAGTGCGGTCGATATTTCGCATATTACAAAAGCTACTAAATATTTAAGAAAACGAATTAAAAATATTACTGGCCAAATAAAACTCCAATAATAGTAGAGGACATATTTACATTAATACCATTTGGCTCAAAAATAAAACTATACAGAAATTAAAGGAAACTAAAAATGGTTTTAGTTTTCTCATGAAATAAAAGAAAAGAAAAAAAAAAGTGGGATGTCTAACAAACTCGAATTCTGCTACCAATACTAACTGTACACAATCAACACTAATAACGTATTAAGCACAGAATTAGTAGCTAACATTACCACATCCCAAGATTATATATATATAGCCATAAGCAGCTAACCCTCCAACTCATAGACGACGAAATTTCACAACGAACCGATTAAACCTAGAAATTGCGATGTTGACATACATACACTTGCGAATATATTTGCTATAGCCGAACGGGGGAGAAATAGTGAGAGTCGATTTAGTCCCATGCACTAGTCACAGCAGCACCATAACCTCCACCATATCCGCCGCCACCAGGTGCATTATATCCACCACTACCGGCGGCATTGCCTCCACCACCACCATAGTAATCCATTCCACCACCACCTCCTCTACTGAAATTCGAGTCCCTTCGGAAATCACGGCCACCAAATCTTCCTCCAGAATTGCCGCCACGGCGGCTCCTCCCCCCAAAGGAAGAACGGGCGGCAAAGCGGGAAAGCCAGGCTGGCACCTCTTGATTCGATTCTTGCATCAGATCGGCCAAGGGCTTTGCCAGCGAGGCGTTGTTGTCGTTAAAGAATGCAGTTGCCAGCCCTGATTTGCCTGCACGCCCGGTTCGACCAATGCGGTGGACATAGTCGTCGATATCATTAGGAAGATCAAAGTTTACGACATGCGAAACATGTGGGATGTCGAGACCACGTGCTGCCACGTCAGTTGCAACCAGGATCGGAGTGTTGCCGCTTTTGAAGGATCTCAAAGCATATTCTCTCTCCTACGGGCCAAAGAGAAAATCATTAATTTGCCGTATCAAAATCTAATCTAGTGCCGACAGTTTAACAGTTCAGTACATTTCGATCTTGAAACGAGATGAGAAGGAAGGCTTATGAGGCAAAGCGGGTTAAACATCAACAAAGAATTACACAGCACCTAGTCCTAGCTGAATATCTATAAGTTGAACGAACCTGTTGTGTTCTGTCACCATGAATGGACGTGGCAGGGAAGCCATTAATGCAAAGCCAGTGTTCAAGTGAATCGGCTCCCTTCTTTGTCTCAACGAAAACCAATGTAAGCGCTTGCTGCAAATCAGAACACAAAACGCCGGACTATAAACTAAAAGGAATCCAAATGGCATTACAATTTACAAGTATTTTCCAAGAAAAGATGTAATATGAAGAAAATGGCCACCAAGACCAAAACACGTAATAGCAATCTACAAAAAAATGAAGTTGATATGATGAGGCGTAATATGAATTGACTTCTAGAGGCTGCTTCTGCAAACATGTTTGAACTTTCATTGAAAGAAGATGAAAATATATTTAACGTTCTCGTGTTCAAAATGAAATTCAAAAAGTTAACAATAATGTTTCCAGATATAACGACCGTCCAGCGACCTAATTCTTAGCAATACCCTGGAAATAAAACACAACATGGCATGTTTTTCAGAACTTTCATTCAACTTTTACGTATACAACTAAACTAATTTCAAAGGCATAATAATAATAATATCAGACCTATTGAATTTAAATTTGATTAATAGGTAAACTTAAACCATCTGCTCACAAGGAAAGTTTTAAGTCACATAATATTCTGGTCAGTCTTTTTACCTTGACCTGAACGCCATTTGCTCTCTGAGCGTGAAGGAGGTCCATCAAGTGACTTCTTTTGTCAGTCTCGAGCACGTATTCAACTCTTTGGACTATCAAGTCGGTGCTAGAACCAACTCTCCCAACAGCCAAAAACACGTAATCTGACAGAAAGTCAGAAGCCAGCCTCTGTATTGCAAAGTAAAATTTGTGCAATGTCACAGATCAAATAATAGAAAGATGCATGAAATGAGTAGGCATTAGGCAACTTCTATTTCACATAGTGGCTGTTAGTTTACATCATATCAAATGTTAAGATTCGATTTCACATGCTGATGAGTATATTGAAGTGATGCCTATGAAAATAAGAAAACGGACCTGAATCTCCTTTGGAAATGTGGCGCTAAAAAGCAATGTTTGTCGTACACCAACTGGAGGCATGTCCATCTGTTGCACAATTCTCCTTATTTGAGGTTCAAAACCCATGTCTAACATTCTATCTGCCTCGTCTAGGGCTAAATATTGAATCATTTGCAACGAGACTCTTGCTCTTTCCAACAAATCTACTAACCGTCCAGGAGTTGCAACAAGTATGTCTACACCTCTCTCAAGCTCTCGAAGCTACCAATAAATTGTCGATAATATTATTATAACCGGAAACGTAACCGAAAACCAATATGGATCAAGGAAGCAACAGACAAAACTCAATTATAACGGTATCAACGAAGTAAAAATCTTTAAAATGAAGCAGCTCAGCAATTATAAGGAAAACGTAGATCAAACTCACAATTGAAACATGCATGTTCTCTGTCATGGAAAAAGATTATGTAACCTAGTTATGAATAAGTAGCTGGCGTGGGCTCTCATGTTCAGAATTTTTTGGCTAGGGTTTACAACAAAATCTTTAAGAAGACAAAAAAATTCCAAAAAAAAAAAAACAAAAGAAAAAATGCTCAATCAAAATCCATTAAAATAACCCACTTGGATGCCAGACTGTATGCAATACTTTTACAAAAGATTACCAAACTTGCGGAAGAGACATGCTTCAGTTTCCAATCAATGATTCAAAAATCAAAACTGATCTATATATATATTTACAAATATGTATATAACAGGTAGAGATGAGGCTACAAGATCAGGCAAATATAGAGAAGCGTGATTATGCTCAGGAATAAGTGCAATCGAACCAACAACACAGAAGTAAAAGAATAAGACCTGTAAATTGATCGGTGCACCACCATAAGCGACAACCACCTTGACCCCAGTTTGATAGGCAAATTTCTTAGCTTCTTCATGATCTACATGGGGCATGAGCAAGTGTTGGTTCACAGTAGAACATAATATTCGAAATGCCAAAGAAAACATAATAATAACTCGAGACAACGAAAACTCACTTGGATCGAAAGCTCCCTAGTTGGAGAACGAATGAGAGCCAGCGGAAAGGCCATGCGTGGTGCACGCGGTGGCCTCGGAGCAGATTGGCTGCTGTTCATAATCCCACTAATTATCGGGAAACAAAATGCAGCTAGTCTTTCCAGAACCCGTCTGAGCACAAGCCATCAAATCACGCCCAGCATGTGATATAGGTATGGCATGGCGCTGCACGGGTGTTGGCTTCACGTATTTGCACCTCCTAATATTTAAATTTAAAGCATCGCCTAAATCGATATCCGCGAACGTACTGACCGGAGGTGGAACATCCTTCCCACTCGTCTCCACCGGAATATCCTCATAAGCATCGAAATTAATCCCAGTATTTTCCTGCGAACCAAACTCCGGTTCTGTATCCACATCGTCTTGAAAAGGATTAGCCTCTCTTTCCCTCCCACGGTCCCAACCACCGTTTCTGTTATTCCAACCACCACCGCCGCCGCCGCCAACACCACCTCGGCTGAAACCACCACCTCCGCGAGGACCAACAGCAACACCACCTAAAGCCGGACCGCCAGGTCCATAGTGATCATTTCCCGAAAAGCTGCCAGCATAGGAAACTGGAGCTGAGGGAGGGTCTGCTGAGGGAGGCCTATTCCTAAGATGCGGCGGAACATAACTCGATCGAGGAGCACGCGAAGTGTTCCCTACACCACCACCGGTGGGAAGCCTCTCCATGGAATCAGACCAAGAAGTTGGCATCCTCAAAAAGAAGACAATTTCCAACAATTATACTTCCCCTATCGAAAATCCCGCAGAAATATCTTCAATGACACGTTTCCTGCCCACTCGAAGAAAGTTCGAACACTGCATATCCAACAAAAGCCCCAAAATTTCCGTCAACCGATCAAAAAAACTTCGACACTCAAGCATACATTTCCGACGAGACACGAGATAAAAGCAAGATACAAGTACTAACCGTGCGAAAAAAACACAAATAGCAGCAAAAATCATTAGCAGTTGTATGAAATTAAAAAAAAAAAAAAAAAAAAAAAAAAAAAAAAATCCAATTTTAAATGCTTATCGAAATGGACACCCACGCACCCACCTAGCATAAATTAACCAAAATAGAAACATGAAATGCAGCAACATTTACACCGAACGCAAATGCAACATGAAATTGTTCCTCAAATAAACAAATAAACAACCAGGAAAAAAAAAAACCCAGCCCTTACAGAAATACTTCAATATTGCAACACATAATTCAGAGAGCAAAAAAAAAAAAGGTGAGTCTGTGTGTGTGAGTGAAAAGGAACATATATAATATAAATGGAAGGTAGAGGAGAAAGAAACCCTAATTTTGGGTAGATGATGTGCGATCGGAGGCGCTGTGCGTAAATATCTTGTGGCGTTCTTTCCGGTTGGTTCTCTCTCTCTCTATCTCTTCTCTGATTTCTCTCTCTAGAAAAAGGTCAATGGTTTTTCTCTCTAGATATTATATATTTCTTTTACTCCTACGTATTTATAGTGTTTCATATTTGCGTCTCTGCTTAATAAGCGATGGGACCAATATTTTTTGAGGGGCTCCCTTTGTTTTCTTTTTGTTTCCCTTTTCTAATTTTAAATTTATATATTATTTTTTTTTTTTTTATTTGTAAAATTAAAAATGGTCACATGATCTTCAATCTTTGACTAGTGTTACCTATATCATTGTGATTTTTCTTTAACTATTTTTGGTAATAAGAGTCAAACTCACTTGATGGATATTCCTATATATAGATATTTTATAAATAAAATTATTTAATTTTAGAATATGGTAATAAAAAATTTAACTAATGTGTGTAGACTATCTTTTACTCCACTTGTCCGCCAATGAGGATTTTTTGTGATTTTGTTTTCTTTTTTTTGAATGGTAAAATTTTCAAATGGAAAAAATACAGTTTTCATATCTCAAGTTTGCACCGATTTCACATTTGATCACCTATATTCACAAAGGAAAACATTTGGTCCCTCGTGTTTCAAAACTTCAATATTCTTAGTTATACCGTCAATTTTTTGTTAGTACTAACGGAATCAAGTAATTGTCCGTTACTGTCTTAATTGACGGAAATAACCAGAAGTGTTAAATTTTTGATACATGAAGGACCCAATATATCTTTTATAAACATGGAGGACTAAATATGAAATTAATGTAAGCTTGAGGGTGAAAACTATATTTTTTCATTTTCAAATTAGGGATATTGGTTCAATAGTTGGTATTACAGAATATTAAATGAGGAAGAATATATGAGGGGGAATAATTGTAGGATATTTTTATTTATGACGGATTCATAGTATTATTTTTGGATTATGTTAAATTTGCCCTTCTTTCTTTAGTCGTTGGTGTTGACTTATAAATATTGCATGGTCGACTTTCCCACTTTATTTAATTATTTTCTATGTAATTAAAGGAATAATCTAATATTATATCTCAAATTAAATGAAAGAGAAACTGCAACTTTGCAAACATTCAAAATATAGAGAGAAAATAATAATTATCTCCAAAAATATCATCATCTTAATATTAACTAGTAATTCTTATTTCAATTCTTATTTTCATCATTCATTCATCTCTCTCTCTCTGGGTGTGTGTTTAAAAATTGTTACAGTCCATTGGTGTATAGTTTTTGTTAATTTTAATGAAATAATTTTTTCATTGGACAAAAAATTCTATTATTATAATGAACTTTAAATAAATTAGTAGATACTATATGATGCGGCTGGTTTTTCCGCTTCAAGATATGCCGAATCTTCTAGCTCATTCTGTATTCGGCATGTTTGTCATGGACCTAAAAAGGATCGGAAGATCAGAGGTGCTCCCGGCGTTAGCACTCCGACACCCAAATTAGAACACCTCAAAGATTCAAAGAGAAATATATTAAGGAGAAAATGGTGTGGTAAGATTAAGATTGCTTACCTTGAGGGTTATGAACCCTCTATTTATTTATAGAAGAGGCTTTTCGGATGCCATTGTTTTTATTCAATCGATTAATAGAGTTATTTCAAGTCCATGACACTTCATAAGTTTTAGCGCTTAAGTTACCAAGATTTTTTCTATTCTTAGTGCCTAAGTCATGAGGTGGCACCTGCTACTCGTCACTAGTCAATTACCTTCAGTTCGTCACTCGTAACTCATCGGCTACCTTCAGCTCGTCACTCGTCAACTAGTCTCCGTTCGTCACTCGTCAGCTACACTCAGCTCGTCATTCGCCAGCTACTCTCCGTTCATCACTCGTCGTTCGTCAACCCGTCGCTCGTCGGAGGTCTCCTAACAGTCATCTACTGACAATGTATTCTACTTGTGGGCTTACCATATCTCAATATTTTGGGACTTTTATTAAAGTCCGATGGATTGGGAAAATGAGTTCGGATTCCATACGGTCTTATCTCCTCATTTAGGCGCAACTCTGTTGGATCTTACCTTGTTGGGTCCCGCAAATCTGGTCAATATATATATATATATATATATATATATATATATATATATATATATATATATATATATATATATAT